AGACCTTCTGAGGTCTAAAAACGTAAAATTTGCAAGGTCAAAGGTCAAGGTCATCAAACGAAATCACAAACTGTGTTTTCTAAGTTTCTCAAAATTGGAGACTACAAATCAATTTTTAATACTGAAAGTCAGAATATGTATTCCTCTAAAGGTTCTTCACATATTAGCCATTGACAATTTATTAAAATTTTGCTCCAGTTTTGAGATATTAGAACTCAAAAACTGAAAAAAGGTCAAATTTCGAAATTTTTCAAGGTCAAATTTCAACTTGCTCTAAATTGACCAAACTTTTTTTTAAAACTCATCTACAAGTTCTCAGGATTCCAAATCTAACCTTACTTTTGACCTTTGACCTTTGGTTGACATTCAGTGACCTCCGAAAGGTCAAAAAAGTTGATTTTTCAAATCGATTTTCTGGATTCAAATTTAGGTATATTTATTCACAAAAAACCTTCTGAGGTCTAAAAAAGTAAAATTTGCAAGGTCAAAGGTCAAGGTCATCAAACGAAATCACAAACTGTGTTTTCTAAGTTTCTCAAAATTGGAGACTACAAATCAATTTTTTTTACTGAAAGTCAGAATATGTATTCCTCTAAAGGTTCTACACATATTAGCCATTGACAATTTATTAAAATTTTGCTCCAGTTTTGAGATATTAGAACTCAAAAACTGAAAAAAGGTCAAATTTCGGAATTTTTCAAGGTCAAATTTCAACTTGCATTAATTCGACCAAACCTTTTTTAAAAATCATCTACAAGTTGTCTGGAGTTCATATATGACCTTGTATTAGAGATTTGACCTTTGGCTGGCCTTTGAATGTTCAGAAACGAATATAGGGCCTCCGTAAGATTGCTTGCAATCTTAGATCGTTAGATCTCTAGTTATTAATTGGTATGCAAACTATAATTATCTCATATAAACTGCAAATTTGTCATTCATTAGAATAAAGATGTTTGCATTTGTCTAATTCAAGATTATGGGTCCGTTAACGACTTAAATACCACTATATAAATTGTTTCTCTCCAGTATGGGTCCTTTGAAGATTTCAAAAGTTATAATTTCTGTCAATCATTGAGATTAAGATGTTTTCAAGTCTCTAGTTCAAGATCATGAGTCCCTTAACAACTTGAAGATTTATAAATTGTTTCTCTCCAGTATGGATCCTTTTATGATTTAACAAGTTAGAATTTCTGTCAATCATTGAGATTAAGATGTTTTCAAATGTTGAATTCAAGATGATGGGTCCCTTAACAACTTGAAGATATAAATTGTTTCTCTCCAGTATGGATCCTCTTATGATTTAAAGGAATATTCCTTGCCAAACCATCTCTCTCCTCATATGGTAGCTATAACCATATATATGCTTGCCATGTTTAGCAAAACACGCAAAAATGTTTTGATATGGTCAAATTTGATCACTTAGAAATGTGATGCTCAATTCCAGTAAGCTGCCATCTTTTAAAATTTCACACAGGAAGTGATGTCATCGACTCTCAACTTTGCATATAGCATTAGGTGAGGAGCTATTAAGAATTACAAAACCAGCTAAATATTCTTTTTCAACTTTGTATCTTATTTAATCCTTCTGAAAATCTCTTCTTTTATTTTAAGTTGACAAGCCCTGAAAATATTTTTGCACAGAAAGTAATGCTCACTTGTCTAGAAGTGATTTTGTGCTACTTTCCTATACTGTTATGGGCAAAGTTATAGAAGTTGAGAGTTGATGACATCACTTCCTGCAAGAAATCTTAAAAGATGGCAGCTCACTGGAAAAAAGCACTAGATTTTTAAATGATCAATATTGACCATATTAAAACATTTTCCCATGTTTTGCTAAATATGGAAACTATATATATGATTATAGCTACCATATCAAGAGAGAAAGGGTCTGGCAAGGAATATTCCTTTAACAAGTTCGAATTTCTGTCAATCATTTAGATTAAGATGTTTTCAAATGTTTAATTCAAGATGATGGGTCCCTTAACAACTTGAAGATTACTATATAAATTGTTTCTCTCCAGTATGGATCCTTTTATGATTGAACAAGTTAGAATTTTTGTATATCATTAAGATGTTTTTTAATGTCTAGTTAAAGATGATGGATCCCTTAACAACTTGAAGAGTACTTTATAAATTGATTCTCCTCAGCATGGATCCTTTAATGTGTTAACAAGTTAGAATTTTTGTAAATAATTAAGATGTTTTAAAATCACTAGTTCAAGATAATCGGTCCCTTAACAATTTGAAGATTACTATATAAATTGTTTCTCTCCAGTATGGATCCTTTTATGATTTAACAAGTTAGAATTTTTGTCAATCAATGAGATTCAGATTTTTTCAAATGTCTTGTACAAGATGATGGGTCATTTAACAGCTTGAAGAGCACTATATAAATTGTTTCTCTCCAGGAAGGGTCCTTTTATGATTTAACAAGTTAGAACTTTTGTCAATAATTCAATAAAATCAGTATTGATCCTTTTATGATTGAACAAGAAAAAATGAAGAAAACTGAAGACCACTCACATTTTAAGCTATTTTTATTTTTCATATAATACCGGTGCCCCCCGTACCATTTCTAATCAATAAGTATGACTAAGAAATCAATTATACTGTAAACAAAATTTTTTACTGTGAATAAATAAATATATATATATAAAAAAAGTAAGAACTTCTGTCAATCATTGAGATTAAGATCATGTTTTCATATGTCTTAGTACAAGATGATGGGTTCCTTAACAACTTGAAGATTACTATATAAATTGCTCCTCTCCAGTATGGATCCTTTTATGATTTAACAAGTTAGAATTTTTATTAATCATTAAGCTGTTTTCATATGTCTAGTTCAAGATGATGGATCCCTTAACAACTTGAAGAGCACTATATCAATTGTTTCTCCCCAGTATGGATCATTTTATGATTTCACAGGTTCGAATATCTGTCGATCATTGAGATTAAAATGTTTTGATATGTCTAGTACAAGATGATACGTCCCTTTACCACTTAAGGTGCACTATATCAATTGTTTCTCTCCAGTATGGATCCTTTTTATGTATATTTCACAAGTTAAAATTTTTGTCAATCATTAAGATTAAGATGTTTTCAAATGTCTATAACAAGATGATAGATCCCTTTACCACTTGATGTGCACTTTATCAATTGTTTCTCTCCAGTATGGATCCAATTATGTATATTTCACAAGTTAGAATTTTTGTCAATAATTAAGATTAAGATGTTTTCAAATGTATAGTACAAAATTATAAGTCCCTTTACCACTTGATGTGCACTATATCAATTGTTTCTCTCCAGTGTGTGTCCTTTAATGATAACACAAGAAATAAATTCCTGTTACTCATTAACATGATAAAGATCATGTTTCCAGACACCAAGAACAAAATGATGGGTCCCTTAATCCACTTGAGACACACTATGTTAATTGTTTCTCTCCAGTGTGGGTCATTAAATGATTCAGCAAGTGAGAATTTCTGTCACTCATTAACATATGATTAAGATGATGTTTTCATATGTCTAGGGCGAGAAGATATGTCCCCTAACGACTTGAGGCACACTATATCAATTGTTTCTCTCCAGTGTGTGTCCTTTAATGACTTAACACAAGAAATAAATTCCTGTTACTCATTAACATGACAAAGATCATGTTTCCATGTATCAAGCACAAAACGATGGGTCCCTTATCCACTTGAGACGCACTATATCAATTGTTTCTCTCCAGTGTGGGTCATTTAATGATTCAACAAGGAGAAACTCTTGTTAACTATTTATCACAAAATCTACAACAATCTAGCTTTTCTCCATTGGGTAGATTTGTGTTTGAATTGTTTTTTTAGAGAGAAATTTAAGTCTGATACAAATAAGAGACGAGGCATCAACAGGCAAAATGCCATCAATATTTGTTACAGACACCAACAGCTGAATGCCAAGCACCAACAGCTGAATGCCAAGCACCAACAGCTGAATGCCAAGCACCAACAGCTGAATGCCAAGCACCATCCATAAAAAGTTGGAGGCTATAACAATGTGTCACCAGATTTAGTGGGGACATCATATTTTCTTCAGTTTTTTATATGCATTGTACCAATTAATTAATTAATTAATTAATTAATTAATTAATTAATTAATTAATTAATTAATGAATGAATGGACAAATAGATGGATGGATCACAACAGGAACTGTGATTTGTGGAATAACAATATGAAGTTTATTCAAGGGCATCATTTAATTTAATTTTAGGGCAATTTAGGTCACATTTTCAGCCTTTCATTGCAGATTTTTTGGCATTTTGCTAGTTGCCATTTTTTGCTAAGAAGGAATACCAAAATTGAATTCTTTCAAAGCTCCTATAACTACTCGTATATTGCTTTTATTCAATTGTGTTGTACGTAGCCACCTATTCTCATATTTTGTATCCATGAACATCCTGTTTTGGTCAAGTAGAGCAACAGTGTTACTAATAAGCCACTGTTAAAACAAACTCTTAGTTCCTATTCTAAAGCTTGCTTATAGTTGGACTGAAGTGAGGAAGAAGGAAGCTCATGTAATGATACTTCAAAACTAAATCATTCAGCCATTGCATTGAATTTACAAGAAACTTGATTACATAGCTTATGATAGCATTCTTCAAAAAAAATGATCAACAACTCATATCAGATTTACCCTTTATTGATTCTAATTTTTGAACTGATCAAATAAAAATATTAGCTCATGGGATATCAGACTTGGTTTGGTGATTGCTTTTAAATATCAGCTCTTTACACTGTCAAAAAGAATCACAATTGCTTGTCTGTATTTAGTAGTGTTTATTCATATAGAATACTTGTGATGGATCGATGAATGACACATAAATGCCATTTCTCTCCCGTATGGATCAATTTTATCCCTTTGTCTTACTAAATATGAAGTTTCCCCGAATGACACACATGTGTCATTTTCTCTCCTGTATGGATCATTTTTATCCTTTTGTTTTACTGAATATGAAGGGTCCCCCGAATGACACAAATGTGTCAGTTTCTCTCTTGTATGGATCATTTTTATCCATTTGTCTTAAAATACACAATTTTCTGTAAAATAAGTAGTTTTTCTCAGGTGTGTATTTTTATATAATGCATAGAATTTCTGAGTACATGAAGTCCATATAGCATTGTCAAAGGTCACAAGTAGATGTTGATTTATCATTTTCCTGGACATCATCCTCTAATTCATTCACAGGATGTTCACTTGAGGACTGAAATATAAAAAAGGCATGAATAAAAAATGATTTTGTTGAAGCAAAATTCAATTTACATACTGTTGAAACCAGGGTATTCTATCATTCTCCTCATTCTATCATGTATGAGTTAACGGATCAAGATGAATGTATATGCAGTTTACATTGTTATTTATAGTCATCTTTTCAAAATTTGTACAACATTTATTTCTTACCCCTTGTAAGAGACAATATATTTTGCCCTGTCCAGCTAACTTGGTAACACTTCTTGCAGTCCATTTAACAGTGTCATTATGACCACTGTGTTCTTCTATGATTCTTCTGTTTATGTTTTTGACATACTTGAAAGGCTTAACTTCACCCATTGTAGCCATCATAACAGTTTCTATCTGTAACATACAAGTACAAAATTGACAACAGTGAAACCCGTATTTCTGAACTTCATTTATCTGAAAATACCTCTGATTTACATATTTCAAATACCTTGAAACGTGAGCTCTAATAGTAATCCCAAAAAAACTTCTCTCCAATTCAATACCTAATTTATCCTATGACAAGTGAAATCCATCAACATTTTGGTTACTGTCTGCTGTTTGCTGCATCTATTTTGACAGTTTGTGATAGCATGACATTCTAACAAATTAACTGTTTCTACCCAGGTTTCTACAATAAACAAAAATGTTTTTCCCTGGAATTTTGGAGCATGAGATGGACAGCAGGATATATACAGTACAGCGGGATTTAGGGTTATGTACTGGGAAGTTTTGGCCTGTATCCAAAACCGACTGTACATAACAGATGTATTTCATACCTACTGAGGTTCTAGGTACATCATATCTTATAAAGATCCAAAATTCCAAAACATACTTAAGGTACGCGTTTTCTTTCTAAAGTTCGCGAGATTTTCAAAAAATTTGAAAAAAAAGAAATTGAAAAAAAATTGAAAAAAAGTTTTTAATGTTTTTTCAAAAAATATGATTTTTTTTTCAGGACCGGGACAGGGATGGATACAGCATGTATCCATCCCGGTCCCGAGCCTTGGTGATAGCTCCCTAGATACACTATATATTCCCGCTCGTTATGTACCTAGAACCTCAGTAGGTATGAAATACATGTATATAGATATCAATCTATATCCCACTGTTATGTACCTGAAACTTCACTTGTCATAGGATAAACTGTGAATCTGCCAATTGGGATATACATGTATCTCCAATTAGATAAATATCACCCTCATAAAACATTTTCTGGTATGCATTGAAGGGCAGTAATTGTAAGAAGTATAGTTTTTCTTATTCACATGCATCTCATAATTTATTTTATGCTGTTTGGATAGTGAGTAAATTCTTGTCACAGTGAATCTAAAACATAGTGTAAAAGCTATATCACTATTGTCTGGGTCACATTTGCTCCAATTCATCGGCCTGCGCCTGGCCGATAGGTTATTCTACTCAAAACTGAGTATAATTTTGAACAAAGTACTAAATCAGCCAGAAGCCGGCTGATGAATCAGGGTAATTCGGAGCAAATGTGACCCAAGCATCCAGCTAGTACCTGTTTTTTCATAGCTGCTTCATTATCAAATTTTTTAAAGGTAATCCGTCCGGAGGCTACAATTGCTGATTTTGTAACTGACCGTGGAATCTTCCCATTATCTTGTAATATAACTACACCCTTTGTTAATGTGTGCCCTCTAGGACGTCTCAGGTGATGCTTTCTGGAGAGTAGTTTTTGAATTTTCACGGCTGGAGGTTTGGTACTGTTTGGAGCAGATGTATTTTGGTTAGTCACTGAAAAGTAGTTGAAAAACTTTCATAAAAACATGTTTTTCCGTTGGTATTTCAAGTATTTTTATGTAATTTAATACACAGGTAATGCATGAGATTTTTGCAGTTTGCTCCTTCCTTACCTCATTGACTCACCTATTTTACATAAGAATTAAAATTGCGAAGCATAAAGACATTGGATTGAAATGTCAAGTGTGAGGACAAAGGAGTGGTATCTATATGGTGAACTTTTTGAACACACATTTCTCTTAAACCAGTCACCAAAAAATTCTGAAAAATTTACACATTGTCAATTTAATGGTCATCTTTTGGATGGTAAAATTATAATTTGAAATATATACACTTTTCTGTATATTGTTTTAGAAAACACATCAGACACTTCTTTTGTTCTTGGTACCATATGTTCGGAATGAAATGAAACATCTAGCCTATCCGAACCTCATTGGAACAAAACGAGATAAACACGTGTTTGGGTCTCCCAATATTGTTATTGTACAAAGGAAAGTTTCGTTGATTTTGAATAAAAGGTTTATCTTAATTTTTAATTATTTTTGGGGGTTTTGTTTTAATCGTTTGCATACTTTTTGTTAAATCAACCAAAATTTCCTTTGTATAAGTATAATATTGAGAGGTCTAAAAAAATGTTGTATATGCTATAAAATATACATAAATAATTTGCATTAAATTGTTGTCAATCAATTAACATTACATAAAGGATCGTGTTTTTCTTACAGAATGTTTCCAATAATTGGTTTAAGAGAAAAACATTGTTGAATTCAGTTCAACAAATCGATACCCATCCTTTTGACATATATTTAACCATTGATAAAACACTTAGCTGGACCTGCTATGAATGATTTTTCTCAGTTAAGCCTTGGTCAAGGTTTTTTGAGGTTCCTCGCAACCTGAATTTATATGGTAGAGCCTTGTACAGCCTTAAACAGCTTACTTATTAAGACGTGTGTTCCTTACTTCCTGACTTGCTCATTTGAAAACTATTCAATTTAGAGAGATGCATATCTGCTCATTTGGCATATCAAAGGACAAGGTGCAATTATTGGCAAATATCCCTATGGTCAAAATGAACCATTCATAGGTGTAACATGAAGAATAAAATGTCATATAATACTTTGGAAAATATTAAAGTGCTCGGACACACATAAGCTGAGATAGGGATCATTTCGTTCAGTAAGGTTGTATTACATGGGGCTGTGCACCATTGACTTAACATGAGGATATCAGCAGATCCCAATAGAGGCCATTGGTTTCAATTGATTATCACAGAAATACCAAAAATACACTATGACCTGAATCGATTGCAAACTTAATAATTTCACAATACGACACAAATGGTTTATCTCATCAAATGTGCAAATATGAAGTTTGCAATCGATTCAGGTCATACTTAAAATTAAAAGATTGTACATTTTTTCATCATTTTTTCCCCTACAAAATGGCTACAGAAAAATGCTCCAAAAACGACTTTTACACTTATCAAATATCATACAAGTTTGTAAAACCAAAGATTATACTATTATATTTCATTATGTAGTAACATATTTGGATAAGATGCAGGGATGCGTAGGATGTAAATGGATTTTGACAGACACAAAAATACTTCCTGGTTTGGAATCTATGCCTCTACACTTCATGATTGAATTATGACCCTAATAAGTGGCCTATACATCAATACAGTGCTGAATATAGGTCAACAAGATACTAGTGTGCATATAAATGTAATAATTGAAGCAGAATACTCATTTTGAAAAATCAGATGAATTATTTTTTTCCCATGGGGAGAATCCAATGGCGGGTGTATAAGGTCCTTTATATCTTAAATGAGAAGTCTTAGTATGTCTAATAAGCACTGACCTTTCAACAAATGACTTGAGACACATTTCACATTGGAAAAAGTCTCTCTCCAGTGAGGATCCTTGTGAATTTCTCACAAAATTGGCAGAAGATAGGATACTCTCAAGTGTGTTTAACAACCATGCTCTTTTAACAGAGGACTTCTTGTATACAATACAGGAGTAATATTTAACTAGAAGCCCCCTCTTTGTAATTTATGCAATTAAATAATAATATGTAAAACTACCATTACTATTGATTACTATAAAGATACAATACAAATGAAATAATCCAGTAAAGTGTGTGTATTTCAATAGATATATGTTCTCATACACATGTAACATCAATGCGAGGTTTAAGGAAACATAACGAAATGCAATGTCAAATTGTCCACTGTCTTGATACAAAATTGATACACCTTCTTGTATCATATCAAGGATCTATCAGGTCAAGTTTTCTCAGAAGCTTTCTTGCATGCGCCACTTTCTCATTCCAGCAACGAGTAAATTCTGAAGTTGTGGATTTTAGCGTGCAGACAGCATAGGCTGAAAAAGTAAATTAAGTTAATGTTCGGAATCTATTTCAAACATTGAATGTTTGTTTATACAGTATTATAGATGTCCATTATCAATTTTGTCAGAATGAGTTTGTCAGGTAACATCTAGGTATGTGTTCAGTATGTGGGAACTCGTTTATAGATCCAAAAGAAACTGGAAAAGAAAAAGTTAATTTGTTTGGTACTTTATTTTCAAGGTTCCTAACTTAAAAGATTCTTTTTCTAGCACATTATCCTTCTTTATGCTATTGTAGTGTCTTGTATTGTGAGGTGTTGCATTTTTATGATGAATTGATATAATCATATTTTTAGGGCTAGCAAGATATCAGAGTAATTTACTATCTTTAATCCTCAGATATCTGGACATTTTGGTATTAATTTAGTTTTACTGAAATACAAGTTAATTGACATTGATTTTGACAAAGACAACATGTTAACTTACACTGTAAGGCATTGATGATTCTGCTTCTCTCACTAGAGTCAGAGCAATAGAGGTGTAATCCCCCTGGAAGGTTTAACTCAGGAGTAGTGAAGAACCCATCAATTAAACATTTGATCGATCTTGAAGTTGTTGCTTCACGCTTCTTTGTTTTACAGGTTGCTAAATGTGTTTTTAGCCATTCTGGCTGTACACATAAGTCATGATCTCCAACCAGCCTTACATAACCATCTGGTATAGATTCAGCCACCTTGAATAGAGATTGTATTGGTGAGTTCTATCCCAATTAACTACAAGATATTAACATGCAAAATGTCACCACCCAGCATTTGTCATATATGGGATGCCAAACACCGAACATCAACTGCCACATCCACTAAAAAGTTGGAGACAATTACAATATGTCACCACTTGGGGTAGTGACATAATAAACATGTTAATAACCGAAACTGTTCATAATTAAGTGTCTCTTTTTGGTGGATGATGAGTGGGAGAAAATGTAACTTTATGTTTGATCTTGGGCATTATTTGATGACTTGAAGCCAGAAAAGCTGCTATTTGAGTTAGACACTTGGCATTAAAATGACAAAATATCATCACAAAGCAGTTATTCAAAGTGTTACTAAGTTGTAAAGATATCTTACAAATGAAAAATGCTGGACTTGGAACGGCAAAAGCCATCAATAAATACTAGTAACTTGCTCACTTTAGCAGTATGCCATAATAAATAAACAAGGCATTAAAATGCGAAATGTCACAACCTGCCATTTGTTACAGACACCAAAACCAAGTGCCAAACACCAACTGCCGGATGCAGAACACCATCCGCAAAAAAGTTGGAGACTATAAAAATATGTCACCACTTGTGGTGGTGACATAAAAATTAAACCTACTGGAATCAGAAGGAAATCTGCCTTTCTTCTGCGCGGTTTTGTCTTTGGGTTGTAGTTGAATTCGAAATCTGGAATTTCTTGCAATCTTTGTGACATTGTTGTGGGGTATGACATATGATCAGGAATGTCAGAGGAAAGAGGATATCCTACAAAACAAATGCAAAACTGAACTTTGATCATCCATTTCAAACTACAGTTTAACAATACATAACAATATACCAATTGAAATAGATAACAATCTTTTCTTCTCGAGTTTCATTTATTGTGATTAATAATAATGCACATTTTAAGGCTGTTTTGTCAGTGTGTATCCTCAATGTTCCATATAATGCCACATTTAAAGAATCTTTTCCAGTATGTATCTTCATTTTCTCAATAAAATAATGCATTTCAAGAGACTTTCTCCAGTATGTATTCTCATACACTCAATATATGCCACATTTGAAGAGTAAATTAAAAGTATGCAACAAATTTCAAGTATGTATCCTCATATGCTCAATGTAAAGTTGCATTTAAAGGGACTTTCTCCAGTATGTATTCTCATATGATCAATATATGCCACATTTAAAGAGTAAATTAAACGTATGCAACAAATTTCAAGTATGTATCCTCATATGCTCAATGTAAAGTTGCATTTAAAGGGACTTTCTCCAGTATGTATTCTAATACACTCAATATATGCCACATTTGAAGAGTAAATTAAAAATGTATCCTCATATGCTCAATGCAATGTTGCATTTAAAGGGACTTTCTCCAGTATGCATTCTCATATGATCAATATATGCCACATTTAAAGAGTAAATTAAAAGTATGCATCCTCATATGCTCAATGTAATGTTGCATTTAAAGGGACTTTCTCCAGTATGTATTCTCATACACTCAATATATCATAAGATATATCTACTATAATGATGGTTGAACATTAATAAACAGGGTCAAAACCAGATAGCCATAATTGGGTATATCAGTTCATATATCAATAGATGAATAAATGAGTAAATAAATTTGCTCAATCCATATTGCTTCGATCAAATCGCTAAAGGAAACTTTGCCTTTCTCTTAAAAAATCATTAAAATGAATGTGAACATTTGAATGTTATCTTCCTAATTAATAACCCCACCTAAAGTTCATAAAACATGCAAAGAACAACTCTTTTTAACAATCTATTTAGCTTTATTATCATAGATTTTTTCTTTCATTGCATTTTCCACGTCTAATATGATCAGTTCGAATAGACTTACACCTAAATCTCATCAAACAAATTTCACATTCATAGGGTTTTTCACCAGTGTGGATTCTCACATGTTCAGTCAAATGAGCACGTTTCAAAAACCTTTTCAAACAAAGTTCACATTCGTGCAGTTTTTCTCCTGTATGTATTCTCATATGTTCCTTTAATGTCCTTCTATGGCGGTAAATTTTGTGACAAATACTACAGGGAAACAATTGCATGGGATCATCCTGTGTTCCTAAATTGTGAGAGTCTGCCGTATCTCTTGGAGTTGTCTCACTCCTGTCTGAAAAAGAAAACCACAAACTTAACAGCTAATAAAATATGCTGATTATTTTAATACTGCAGTCAAATATTATTACTAATTTCATTAATATAATTCATTCAATTAAACTGAACTTCTTTTATTGATATTTGCAAGCTGCACTAATTTTTTTCCTAATTAAAACATACACCCTTTAACCTCTTGACTACCGAGAGTGATGAGATTTCTTATCACCCCAGAAATGACCTTGAAACCCAGAGTGATGAGATTAAATAATCTCTGCCATCTAATTTTACTAAAATGAGCATCACCTGTTGCATATGTATAAAATATCAAAAGCTGGCAAAAATGAAAAATCCTCTGGTTTCAACCAATTTTAGAACTTGGGATTCAAGAGGTTAAATAAAGATTGGGATTTCTCTGAGATAATTGTCTATAACTATTGCTAACCTGAATATATATATTGTAAAGTTAGTAAGTTGATTACTTAAATATTTATAAGAGCTTCTTATTGTAAAACATATCACAGATATTAATTTTAGTCACACTATATGACAGTAACAAAATGCAGTGTTGGCTTTTTAAATGCTTGTTAGCCCCAGCTCCTTTGTCCCTTAGGCATCAGCATATGAAATTGGAAGCAAATCCGTCAACTGGTATTTGGGTTATCAAAAATTAAATTTTTAACAAAAATGACAGGGAATCTGAGAGATGCAACTTCAGAATGATAAAATAAGCCATGTGCAATACATGGTGTAAAAATAATATCAAGTTTTTTGCATATTACGTCGTGATTCATTTCGCTCACTTTTATTTTCTACAAGACAAACTAGAATACATTTGTTTATATATATTATTTATTTACAAAAATGTACAATAAACATATTTTCTAAGTAAAATACATAAATTCACCCATCTCACCCTGGTTTTCTAAATGCTTGTAGCAAAAATCCAATCTTTACAAAACTCTTTATCCGTCACCTTTGTTTTTGAAATATTTTTATATATGGGCTTGAGCAAGCTATTGGTAGCACTTTTAGTCCCATAGAAGTGGATTTTCAAACTTGTTAGAAGAAAACATTTTCCTGAATCATAATTTTACTTAATGTCTTACCTTTCATTTTTTATTGACCCAGAGATAACTTTTTGCATCGATATTGAAAAAAATCAGGATGATATTACAAGCCCCAACTTTGGCTCTTCGGAAAGGACACACACATAATTGCAATTATAAAGGGTATATATAAGTTTCAATATATGTTCCACATTTTTTGTTTTAAAGCATGCACATATATGGTTCTAAATAACTAATAGTTTTTATCTGAATCATTATCATAGAAATGAATTAGGAAGACCAATCTCGTCACTTGGCCCGTGATTTCGGCAAAAAAGTTCAATCATTTTTCCAATTACGATAATACTTAATAATGTCGAATATCCTGTTGATTTTTCCTTCTGTCTGAATCATTACAAAGTCCTTAATAATGTTTGATTATATATGAGACAATCATGATAGTATATATGTGTACCATATGACGAAACTACACTTGTCCAAAGCTCTTCGGAAAGGACATTTTTTAGTGTATTGCTAAATACTGTTTAACAGATTGAATTTGAGGGAGCAATTTTCGGAGATTGTACATTTGTTTCTATTCATGTATTCATGTTTTCGAGATTTACCACTGATTACATCATTAACTGTGATTTTTCATAGGTAAATATATGGGCGATAATAGGGCAAAACATCATTAAAGTCATCACTTTAAGGCTATCATGAATGTACTTGTAGTTTTTTAGTTGCTGGGCTGGGGACATGTAGGCCTATGAAACAGCATTATGCACAGAAACGACTCAATTGTTGGTGGTAATTGTCAGTGAATTGAACCTATTATCACAGGAAAAATAGTGATGAAGATACAATTTTATATTTGCGGCATTCTTCATTTGCAATTTTACACTTGAGTGTTTTATAGGGTTTTACAGTACTGTTCAAATCAAGATTCAATGTAATATTTGTAAACATTGTGCTAATGCCTTTATACAGCAGTAGATAAGTTAGTTATAGACATCCAATACAGCATTCCTAATCAGAGACTGAATTGCTCTTCGGAAAGGACACATTTACTTTTGTAGTTCCTGTTTAAGTCTTAGTTACTTCAGTAAAGATATTTTATGTATAAAAGTTCATCAGAAAATATGTTCCAGTGTGTTTCTCTTCAATATTGTTGGTAAATGCACTGTTTTGACAGAGTTTGTCTTTTCCGAAGAGCTCTTCGGAAAGGACTTTTTTCTTGTGTCGGAATTTTAAAATTGGTTTTACAGGTATATATGACAGTTCTAAGCTATTTATTTGTTTTGAATATTCAAGAAACTAAATGCATTTTGTTTTAAAACAGTTTTTAGGGTATCATATTACTTCAGTCTTAAAATACACATGCTCTTCGGAAAAGACATTTGCGTGTCGGAAAATCAGTTAGTTATTTTGAGAGCCAATATCTCAGGAACCACTACAGCCTTTTCTATAATTTTTTTAGTGACAGAATTTTAACATTCCGTACTTTTGATATCATCTTAAAAAAACTGTAAGCAAAGATTGGAAAATATGTTGAAAAATTCAGTCTTTTTTAACATAAAATTTACAATGAAATGTTACACCAACGGTTGTGTGCTACAAGCGGTTATAAAAACTCCATACACTATTATGGACACACTTGTTGCATACCATTTTAAAGCAAATTCCTTAATCTTTCCAATGCAGCCAAATTACTTTAACTTACTCTATTCAAGTACATGTTTGAAGTATATATGTAAATGTGGATTTTTTCTTGGGAATTTGTTACATAGAGAATAAGGCATATTTTGATACATGAAAATTTATAAAAAAATTATCATTCATCTTTCAAAAAAATGATATCTTCCTCAGACATATAGTGGGTATACCTAATTAATAAGACTGATTTCCCATCTGTATCTTAAGCCTTGCATTTTTTCTGGGTGCCAATATGAAAGTGCTACCAATAGCTTGCTCAAGCCCATATAGAATAAATATTAAATGGGACTTTAAATTGTGTGACATTGTAGAGCACTGATTGCACATGCCCTGTTCAACATATTTGTAAAATGGCTAAATAACATTTCTTGAATGTAAATCATATCTTCATACTTTCGATATAATGAGAATTTACAAAAATATAAAAGAGTAAAGTTCACACATTCACAATTTCATGTAGATTTTCTAAAATAATGTATCCTCATACACTTGTTGGAATGAGTCTGCTTCAGATGAAATTTTACTTATTTACTTCTCAGTATATTGTATACCTGTAGAGACAAGATTTTTCAAAAGTTATAAAAAAATCTAGACAACATCAATGCCAAGGCCTGGCAAATCCCATCGAACAGCCAAGGCTGTATTTTAAAAAAATCTCTCCACTACTTTTTCAATTGCAGCCAAGGAGGATTGGCTCCTACTTTTGCCATATATGATTGCATGTCATGATTACAAAATTCGAATTCAAACAGCTGCCATTTTGTTCACTTCAACATTTGAATTGTGAATTTTTGTCTTATTTCCAATGAAAAATTCCAAAACTCACAAGAAATGATCGAGACATTGATTCAAATCTTTTGGACTGTTTATCTATAATAATTTAATAACTTCAGCAAATAACAACATTTTGACGTTTTCGTTGTTAGAAAATATTAAGTTTCGATCCTGGGAGCCAATCCTCCTTGGTGGTAGCAAAAATCGTAAAATAACTCACATAAAAATGGCATCTTTCAAAATGACTGCTCACTAACCAAACTATAATTAGAAAGTGTAGGCACAGATAATATTTCAATAAAATAGCTCTACTTCTTTTTGAGTTAGTGTAAAAAATGAAGAATAATCTTCACAAAAACTAGCCTTACTGGCCAAAGTGTCATAAGTCTGTTTGTTATACCTATGATTATTCACATATCAAATATGAATTAATAAATTGCTCTACTTCTTTTCGAGTTATAGTAACACAATTGAATTCAATTGAATTGTAACCTAACTCCTGGCCGTGAGCCAACCCAATTCATGCATGTGAACGCTTACATTCAATACGTATTAAAATCTATTAAAATATTCATTTAAAACATATTTATATTTCAGTTTCATATATACCTAAAATGTAGTAAAATTGACAATGAAATGGTGGCCATTTTGAAACCGGCGACCATTTTGATGATCAACTTTCAAGTAGAACTTATAGAGAGCAAACAAAAAGTTCTAAAAAGCAAACCTACATGTATTATCCTAGAACCCTTATTCTTACTATTAACAAACCTACATGTATCATCCTAGAACCCTTATTCTTACTATTAAAAATGGATTCTAGCAATACTATCCCACATGAATCTACTTGAAACCCTATCAACTTAAGTTCTGAGAAAATGAGGATTATATAAGATATATAAGTTAAACAGGACATTTAAGCTAATTAAGGCATTTTAGAAAATTTGGGTTGGTGCTAATAAGAATAGTCCAATGAGGCATTATGTGCAAAATATAAATCATATCTGCAGATGGACTGAGCCATTTTCTATCCCCCTAACTGAGTTTGATGGGAAAACATTATTCTTGATGTAATGCAAATTATAAAATACATTTCCAAAGATCACATCTCTGTTAATATTATTTTAAATTCCCAATAATGCCAAATACGAAAAATAGACGCAAAAAAAACTACAAGCAGTTGGTCAAATAGTTTATTGTACCTAACTAAACTAAAACAATAAACTACAATAGAAGTTACATAATATTATAATGCGTTAATTAATAGATGTTACGTAATAATACAATAGAAAATACATAACATTACATTGCATTAAAGAAGTTACATAATAGCATATAATATTATGACCTCCCAGTTTTAGTTTAATTTCAGTTGAAATAGATTTAAATTATAGAGGTTGCCATCTGGTTCTGCAGTTCATGCAAAGGTCATGAACTTTTAATTATGTCTAGATCATCTAATCACTTCAGCTACTGCAGC